CTAATGTGAGCATAGATTTAATGGAAGGAAGCAGCAGCTAAGGGACATTAGCCTGTGCATTTGTAACACAAGACAAAGACCTGCCCAGTTTATACCAATAAGATAAACATGATTTGTGGGAGTTTTATGGGTAAGATCACTTGTTGGAATTTAGGTGAGGCCCAGAATGATCCACTGGTTTTCATTCCCATAAATAAGCCTTTGCTAGAATTGTGCCCAAATCATTCAGTCCTGAGGTCCTCTGGGCAGTCATATGTGGGCCATCAGGCTGTCACAGCAGGATGTCTGCTTTCTAGGGGAATGCTCTGGAGAAGAGAGCAGGGGTGAAATCCCCCTTAAATTAGGTCTCCTCAGATTAAAACTCAGTGCTAAAACTACGTTTCATCCCTAAAATACAAGAACTGAGTGAAAGAAATATGATATTGCACAATAGGAATCACTTTCGCTGCCAGAATAATAAAAAGGACCATGGCCACATCATATACTGTTAATGTTGTTTCCTCCCTGAGGTTCTGAACTGCTCGCTTTTGTGAGGAAAAGTACTGAGATAGGGCTAAGGAAACAGCAAGGAGGCAGATATGCGGTGGAGGCTGTGAAGTGTGTCGCTCAGCTCTCCCTGCAGGAAATTCAAGCTGGGAGGTTGGCAGGAGGCTTCCAGCTGCTGTGTCTTCCAATTCAGTGGGTCATTCATGCCCGGGCTGCACTTCCCCTGGACTGTGCCCATCCAGTGGCTGAGGGTGGCCAGGATGCCAGTACCAGGCCATTCTTGCTGAAGAAGATGTGCTCTAGTTGATCTTGAATGCAATGGGAAACCCAGCTGTGTCATTTTCTGCAATGCCATACACTGCTGAAGTAAAAAACAGATGCATGGAAAAGAAGATACCAGTGTCTGAAGTTGGAATTGTTCTTCTGGGCTCTGGTGGCCATCTTTTTAACACTGGCTATTTCCAAAGAAAAGTAATTTTTCTAAGTTTTCCATTGGAAAACTCCATTTATCTAGAAGACCCAGTGAAGCATCTTCAGTACACACAGGAGCACATCATTCCCTGGTTAATTCAGAGGTTGGTACCGGGCATGGTCATCTAAAAAGGAAAGTACATTGCTCAAGTCAAAGTTTGTAAAGAAGGGCCGGAGATTTAGCTCAGTGGTTCTGGTGCCTGCCTCACAAGCACAAGGTCTTAAGTTTGATCCCTGGTACCAAAACAAAGTTTGCAAAGAAGACAGATGCCTATAAATGGAGTATTCTAATGTATCTTATATATTTTCAGGAGCATGGTAAATGTGTGTGTGTGTGTGTGTATTATATATATATATATATATATATATATATATATATATATATATATATATATTCCCCCAAAACATTATCCACCAAAATAGAATATTAGATTAAAATTTTCAATTAGAAATTATTTACAGAAAAATAATATAAATATCTACTATTTCTAATATCTCCTATTGATATCCTTCCTGAACTACACTAGAACACTGGACTTAATGAAGAGGAAAATGGGCCACATGAAAGATAGGCACAGGAAGAACAGCTACTAGGAATGCAGAGTAAATTCAGTAGGCTAATTGTTCACATTAAATAAGAATAATTATCTGACAACTATTGGTAGCACCATAAAAATACCTTTTTCCCCCTTTCTGCATTCATTGCTGCTAGTATTGGGAAGAGAGTTCTAATGTTTTCTGCTTTTAATCTCTTTGCCAACCATCAGCAGCTGGTGAAAAAAGAAAAAAGAAAGAGAAAACAGGATCACTTAGGTTTGGCCTTCATGTTATTCTGTCTCCTAATTGCACCAAGTGCAGACAGATGGATGACCAGCTGCAGCCAACAGGACCGGGGTCTCGAGGGACCTGCACACAAAGCAGTGGGCACTGTGTCTCTCTGCACCCCAGCATGGGTGTCTCCAGCCAGCTCCACTCACACTCACCAGTGAGACTCCGGATGTTGAACCTCAAACCAGGAATGTTCATGTGCTCTGTTCTCTGCAAGCAGCCAGGAGTCATTGCGCCATTGTTTGCTTCTCTGTGTGCCATTCAGCAGCCACTCTGTCAAGAGGTGGCTCAGCTACAGGAGAGGGGAAGGGCGCTTCAATGGCTGTCTTGACTCCCAAGGGAGGTATGATGGGAAAAGACTTGGCCAGTGTGACATCCTTCCTTCTAGGAGGCCACCTTCAGACCACCTTCAGAAATAGGAGCCAGAAGAGGTAACTTTTTCCCCACAACTCACGACAATGTAGTAGTCCCATTTTAGAAATTAACTGAATGCAGAACTGTCTTTAGTGCATATTCCAGAAGTTCTCAAAGTGTAGTCCCTGGACCAGTACCATCAGTGTAACCCATGAGCCTGTTCGAAAAGCACGTTCTCCACTGTACTCCATGAATAGGAGATCTTGGCCATGGCCCATATGTCAAAGTTTAAAGCAAGCTCTAGAGCTCATTCTGATGCATGTTGAGGTTTACAAACTACTATTTTATGCCCTTTGCTCATTTCTATAAAAATATTGATATTTTCACATTCACATTATTACATTTTATATTTTCAAATTTATATTTGCAAAATATTTCATCCTACACTTGAGAGCACTCAGAGAAGATGGAGTAGGGAGTCTGAAACTCCTTGGCCTATGACTAGTGAGCCCAGAAAGAGAACACAGGTCTTCTAGTCTAAGAGCTTTTATATGCACTGCATGGAAATGCAGAAATAATGTTTGCTCTGTCTAGACATTATGGGAGAGGATGATATCAGGGACTCCTGGTGCTGGTCACCCGTCCGAGCAGAGAAGCACCTCCTTACCTTGGTAAATCCACTGTTGACAGCAACCCCAATCTTCGAAACCTGAATTATCTGAAGCCAAAGCCTAGAGCTGCATGAAATCCACCACAGTCATGCACAAGCAGGCATCTCCCCGCGCAGCTCTTGCCCCTTCCAAATCTAGGAGGCCAGATCCCAGTGGAATTTTATTTCTGCTGCAAAACTCAGGGGAAAATGAGTATGTATATACTTAGTTAAGCAACTAAAATGTTAAGCAAAATCTAGTTAAGAATAGCCTGATTTGTTCAAATGAGAATTGGTCATTGTGAGGAAGTATAAGTTTAAATACTTAACTAAATGTTCTTGGATTTACTTGATACTGTAGATCTCCCTCAGAATTCAAGAAGGCCTTCAGCACTTGTTGTTTAGAGTGCAGCACTTCTAACCTTGAAAAGCAGTACTCATGCACAATCACTCCTCCTGAGTGAGAGTTATCTCCGAAGAAATTCCCTTAGTTTGGTCATGGCGGTAATGGCACCACTTCTGGATAAAAGTGGCTGCTAAGGAGAGGAGGAGAGGTCAGGTCTAAGGGCTATGACTGTAACTCCTTTCATGGCTGTCATTGTTGAAGAACTTGGGTTTGATAACTTTCTTTCTTTCCCAGTCCTGGAAAGTCTTGCATAGGTTATCCTAGTTAGTAGATTTTGCAATCATTTATAAGGGGTCTTTGAGTAATGTTGACCCCATATGCAAAGCTAGACAAACCTCATTTCAACCTAGTACTCTCATAAGCCGGCATTTATAAATTATAGTTATATTTGATTTTCATGTAATAATTGTACATATTTATGGAATATACTGTAATGCTTTGACACATGTGTACATTATTTACTAATCAAATCAGAGTAATTAGAATATTTATTGCCTTATATATTCAGTATGATAAAATACTGTGAATGTTTAAATTAAGAATAAAAAATTATAGTAAAAGACACATTGCCAGTAATCCCCCTCAAAATACTTCCCTTCAATTTGAACACAGTTATCCCATCATTCTTGCCACTTTCTGGAGCAGTTCGGGAAGTCCGCTTTCATGAGAGTCTTCAGTTGTGTTACTGTGCCACCTTGATGCCCTAACAGCATTCAAAATGTTTACTACAATTTCTGTCAAGGTGGTGTCCTCAAGGTGGTACCTTATTGACCAAACCTCACACTGTGCAACTTCTGGCTCTTCATCAAAGTCAAAATGAGATGAAAAGTAAATGTTTTGAATCAATTCAGTACTAGTATGATATAAGTTTTTAACTTAAACGTTCACTGTAAGATTTTATCATACCTAGTATTCATCATTTTCTGGTGGTGTGAACATTCAAAATCTCTATTCTGAAATGTTCAATACACTTTTATAATCATAGTCACCCAATTGTGCAACTGAACAGTATGTGCTCCTCTCGTTTCACTCTGACTTGTGTACATGGACCAAGCTTTTCCTATTGCTCCTTCTCCCCTATCCTTCCCAGCCTCTGACCACCACTCTTTTGCTCTCTACTTCTAAGAGGTCAGTTTCTTTAGACTCCACATATGAGAAATATCATGTAGTATTTGTTTTTCTGTGGCTGGTTTATTTCACCTGGTATGCTCCATGTTGTTGGAAATGACAAGACTTCATTCTTTTTTTAATGGCTGAATAGTAATCCATTGCGTGCATGTGTACAGTGTTTTCTTTATCCACACATCCAGTGATGAACATGTAGGTTGATTCTCTTTCTTGGCTATTGTGGATAGTGCTGCAATAAACAGGAAGTGCAGATGTCTCTTCAACAAACTGATTTCATTTCCTTTGCATATATCTCAGTGGTAGGATAGCTAGATCATGTGACAGTGCTATTTTAAATTTTTTTATGGATCCACTAGATTCTATATTTTTACTTCTGTTTAGTTCAGTTCTCTGCCTTAAAATAAAACTTGTCCACATGCTACGTAAGTATTGGAAATATAAAAATACAGTAATAAGATAGTAAGTAACTATTATGTGTATAAAAATTTAATGTTATGATTTGGATCCCACAAAGACCCATGTTCTAAAGGCTTGGTTACCAGCTTGTGACACTAACGGGAGGTAGTGGGACTTTTCAGAGCTGTGGGGTAATGGAAACAAGGGAGATAACTGGGGAAGAGGCCTTGAAAGGGATTGTGAGATTGTGTCTCCTCCTCTGTCTTTCTTTTTACGTCCCAGTCTCCATGAGGTGAGCAGGCCTCCTCCACCGAGTGCTCCTGCTATGCTGTACTCTGCTGCCACAGGCGAAGCAAAAGGACCAAGTATGCATGGACTGAAACTAGGAGTTAAGATGAGTCTTCCCTCCTGTTAAATCGATTATCTCAGGTATTATCACAGTGACTAAAAGCTGACTGACACAGGACATTGATAAGGAGAATCTATGTTATCTTCGATATTATAATACTATGCACAGATGTAACATAATTTTATCTTGACACTCAAAGTCTAAGTCAATGACTCAATTCCATATTTTAAATTGACACAATGCTATAGCTAACTCATTTCTTTTTTTTTCTCCATTAAGTTTATTGGTACGTTTTAGGTATAAAATAAATTACAT